AAAGAATTGTAGAAGAAAAGTAGCTCTTCACTTTTTCACGTTTTCTGCATTAAATTTACAAAAATAAGCTGTCTCAAGTTTCTAGTGGCCAACAACTGAAATTTATTTCGCTGTATAACATTTTCAACTTCCACTTAACCCCAAGCAGGCACACAATGCAAATGCGAATATCACAACTCTGGGGAAAACAATATGTTACATGTTTCGCTTAAAAGCAAATGACAGTTTCAACAGCTGTTTCAGCAGCTTACAGTGACGACGAAAAAAATCTCACAATTTGATCTGCCAATCAATAAAAAATATATTTGCCAAATCCAGCTAAGGGCCAACTTCTAAACACAAAAGCCAAAAAAACTCTACTCCGAGGTTTATGAATTGGTGTACCCTAAGTGAAAATCGAGTAACGTAAAAAATATGAAATCGAATTGAAAGGAGAACAACTTTGAGCATATGCAAATTGTTTGGGCTTCTAAGCGAGCTGATGACAGCCCCTGATTGGATTAAGAAAACATAAATTCTATGCAATTCTATGACATTTGTGTATTTTATATAAATAGACAATGTATGTTTTGTACAGGTGTGCGCAGTTTCAAATTGAAGGCGCATGAATCAGACGGCACTTTTGCTAGCCTTTGGCTAACGATATGCCATTAATTAAATTTAATGAAATATGTCGTTGTGTTGATTTTAGCGGCTGCAACACAAATTGCAGGCTTCTTTCGGCAACTGCAATGCGCAACGTGGCGTATACGTGTTATATACGAAACTGAAGGTCAAAATTTGGCAAAGAGCGTGGGCATGGACGTGGGCGTGGATATTGGGCGTTGCACTTGCCTGGTCACGTTGTGCCACTAGATCTTCGTCTACATCCACAGCACATGTTGCCAGACGATGTTGCATTTATTAAACAGCATCCCCCACTTTGGGCTTGGAAACACTGTTGTCGCACTCGGCATTAGAGTAACGCAATAAATGTCAGGAACAGCAGTTTGACAGCTCCTCCTGTACGTAACACAGGCACATTTGTGAGTGACGTCAGCAGCTGTCAGTTAATGTCCAAATTTGGCATGTAGTCTGTGTATGTGTGTGTGTGTGTTCGCCGCATTCCCTCGAGATGGGAGCCATTGTGGTGGAAGTTTGCTCTTTTTCACACATGCCACAAATGAAAATTAGGCTATGAAAAGTCCAGTATGTATAAACAAAGTATACGAATATTTGTGCTGCGGTTCGTCCCAGGAAACCCAAAATGCCTGAAATGCACAGCCTTACATTGTTTATTTATCAAATATCCACACTCTGTCGGAGCCAAAAATCCAGAGCTGCCAACGAGCGAGAACAAAGGCAAACGAGTACCCAGAGCAATAGCGTACTCACATCAAATTTGCTAATAATTACTCAGAGACTATAAAATATCCTGTAAATGCAAAAATGTATTTGAATCTGTGGAAATTAATATTTAAATTTCTTTCGATTTGGCATCATTTTCATTTGTGAGAGAGCTAAAAAGAATTATCAAAGTTCATATTTAAATATTATTATTATTATTATTGTTACGCATAGTATTGTTATATATATATATTAGTAGCTGTGATTATTCCTTAGAGCCTTTATTTGCATATTTCAATCTCAGCTAAGAATCAGGATGCTCATTGTTCAGTTCGGAGAAAATCAGTTGGGACTTCAGTACACACATTGTTATCCCCAATGATTTCAGTATGGTGCCTGAAACTCTTCCCCATGTGGAATTGCTATCACAGGGTATTTGAAACCGAATTTTAGTCGCTCGTTAGGCCACTCTTGTTAGCCTTGTTTGCTGTGCCGTGTGCTATGTGTGAGTGAGTGTGTGTGTGTGTGAGTGTGTGTGTGTTGGTTGTGCAAACACATGAACAGCCACACAATTAATTTGTGGTTTTCTTACCGAGTTCCGCTGCGCAGTTATTTTTTTTCTTTTACGGCTCTCTTTGAATTATAAATAAATAGATCTGTACATTTGACTCCATGGAATTGCAGGTCCCAATAACGTCACGTCACACAGACAGGCAGCCAGCCAGCCAGCCAGCCAGGCAGAGTTCGCATATAATATTGCCTACTTATTGGCATGCCAGTTGAATGGGAATGTGTCAGGGACATGTATCAAGAGGTGGATCTCTGCCTGGACCTTGGCTCGCCTGCAGATAATTGATTAAAGGCCAAATGGTGGACGCCATTATGCTTAGCCAGATGTTGCCCAGCTAATTAGACACTAAACTTTCTGCTTAATTAATATTGTCATTAGGGCGCAGATTGTGAGCGCAGAGAATGGCGAAATTGTGAGTGCGATAACAGGACACCAGACGCCATTGATAATAGTAATTGTATAAAGTGAGAAACGGTTGGCTTTTCAAACGACGAACGCTTTATACACTTATTTCGGTGGCAAAAACTCGACATTGTAGAGTAGTCAACCAATTAAGTATACTAGTAGGCATTTTACTTTAACAAAAACCATTTTTTATGTTTTCCAATTATATTTTTAACTAATTAGATCTAATCGAACCGGCCATAGAAAGTAGTATATCGGTCAAGATATACTTTACAGCACTACATATTGGGCGACATAGATATTATGCCTTTTGAAAGTGTATCAAAATGCAAATGAAATATTAGAGACTAATTGGGTAAAACGACGGAATAGATGAAACCGAAGAGATACACAGAAGTTTGGTTGTAGTTACACAAAGTTGAATTGAAACAAGATTTATTGCATACCCAAACCCCACCAACAAAAAAACCATGTTGCTTTGAATATCGACGCTCAATTTCAATTAAGTATAGAATTTGATTGAATTGCCCTGCCATTAAAGTCAGCTCGCATTTGGGAGTATACGTTTGAATTAATCTTGACTCTGTTTTACTTATATGCGTTGAACCCAACTCAAAGTCATGAATTTGTTTATGTGGTCGCAGTTTTTGCTTTATTTTTCCTGTGGCCTGTTGGCCTATTTCGTGACGTTTGCGAACACTGTCAGCCCATAAATTCTTAGGAGAGGGGAGTGGGGGGGAGTGAGAGACAGCAACTTGCCAGTTAATACAAAAACATTTGTCGCTATAATTTGACAGGCACATAAATTCATTAAAATATTCTCTGCACTCGCAGTGCGTGCTGGTTTTTCTTTTAGCCAACTGCTTTTAGCCATGACCAGACCCTAGACTTTTGCCAACATCTCATGAACTTGATGCTTGAAAATATTTTCTTGGCTTTCAAATTTATTTCATTACTTCATCACTCGCATTGTTATAGTATTTATACATATATGTTTATATGTATATATATATATTTGTTTAATGTTTTTATTATTTTCTAGAAAATATTTTTGCAAACACGTCAAGGCACTGCCCCTCTCCCCTTCCCGCCGCTGGCATACCCTTTGTATTTAGTCATTTGGGCTCTTCTTTTCGCACCAGCCTTTCTCTTTGGCTCCGGGCCAACGGAATTTGTATCTGTTTCAGCTAGTTCGCTCAGCCCTGCCACGCCCACCTCCCCATTCCCCCATTTTCTCTGCTTACCTCTGGTAATTTGTGTGTTGTTGTTATTTAAACGCGATTTGATATTTATTTACGTGTGATTAGCAACAATTGGTAAATGTTTTCACATTCGCCTTGCAGCATTCCTTGCAATTTAATTTAATTTAACTTTTTTTTTTTCTTTCGGCTATTCCGCATTTTCTGTAGCGCATAATTCACTTGTTGTTGGCTTTTTATGTACTCAATTTTGCCATTAATTGGCAGCAAGCTGATTTTTTTGTATCGTCTGCGAAAGATATATTCATCTGCTGAGACCATAAATATTCGTGTGTGTTGTGCGCAGATTTCAGGCCCCTCCCTTTGCCCCATCCTCCCGGCTGTCTGTCAATTGTAACATTTTGTTCAATGACTGACCGAAGTATTTAAGAACTTGTTAGGAATTTCTTACTTAATTGCTTTTTCGGCATGTGGCAAATGGTAAACGATATCGTGACGGTTTGGTTTGCTTTGCTTGAACAGCAACAAATCAATAACAGCACATTCTGTATATGTTTATATTTTTATTTTTACTTAGGTAATCAATAATGTAGGTTATTGAGCAATTTCCGCTCGCTGAAGTTTTTGCAATTGCGCAGGAAACACCTATAGAATATATATATAATTTTAATCTCTATTCAGATCTTTCTGTTTAGGACTCTTTCTCTCATTTAATTGCACTTAATTTTTCAATTCTTCTTTAACGTTCCCTTGGCAAACATTTGTTATCCTTGCTGAACACAGTCGCAATTGAAAATGCTGCATAAATAGAGATAAGCATTTGCTCGAACAAATAATAAAACACAGCATTTTGCCAGTTTCCAAATAAAGTGCTACTGCTCTTCTCTGCCATTTCTCATTATTAACGAGAATGCCCCACTTACACACTCCGAACATTTAGCATTCACTCAGCTGTGCGCTCTGCTCTTGGGCATTGTTTTTTTTTCTCTTTTTTTTTTTTTAAACAAGTCCCACCTCGACTGCCCGAATGTGGCCAGGGTCTGAAGAGACCCAACCGCTTAACCCTTTAACAACAATTAAAAATATTGCACTTGACCACGGGCAGGTCGAAACAAAAGACGAACAACTGTGTGTGTGTGTGTGTGGAAGTATATATATATATATATGTGTGTGTGTGTATGTGTGAGTGAGCACTGTGTGGCCACTCAAGTGGCTGCTGCCCTGGCAGGCAATTTACAGTTGGCCCGAATAGTGCCACAGCTGCTGTCCAAAAGGAAAACCGAGAAAACCAAGCAAACCACCAGCCAGCATGACAATTAATGTAAGAGCCCATCAAGTGTTTGCTCAGCGGGCCCTTACATGCTTCTCTCTGCCCCTGTCCCAACTTGCTCTCAGTTAGGTAACATTCTAGTAAATTAGTTGGTTGCAGCTTGTTGCAACTTTTATGTGTGGTTTTTACTAATTCTTTTTTGCTCTTTCTCTCTTTCACTCATTTGCAGAACCAAGAAAAGACAAGACTGATGCACAGCAACACGGTGGCAATGGCACATTATCAACACCGAATATTGAGCAGCCCACATGCCAAGGCTCCATGCTGCCGCCACCTGGGGGCGGCAGTGGCGGAGGTGGTGGTGGTGGTGGCGGTGGCAGTGGCGGTGGCATGCACCACCAGCAACAACACAACCAGACCGATTCCAATAACAAAGTGGAGCGACCCAACACCCTCGGTGGCAGCAACAAACTGTCGCGGCGAGGTGTCAACATTTGCTACCACAACGAGCACTGTAAGTGAACCAATAGCATTTTCTACTACTTTCAGAGTTGCATTCAAACTTTCCATAGCTATAACTTTGTTAAAAACTATCCACCAAAGCTTTTTATTCATGGTTTAACCTGTAGAATACAACTACATTGAAAGATTTTAATGAGATTTTTCGCCAATAAATCCAATAAAATTAGAAGCAAATTTTATCTATCGCTCATCGAGAAGTGCCAGGTTTCCTTTTAGTTGGTTTCAACCCCACACTTCTCACTCACAATACACCAAGCCACAACACACACACACACACACATTTACATTTAAATCACTGGCTAGCTAATGAATCTCACACATTCACTCACTTTTTATGTCTTGCCTCTCTCTCTCCCAACTTTGTCCCCGATTATCGAATTGTAATCGTTGTCGTTTAGATGGCAGCGACGATGCTGGCAAAATGATGGGTGGACCGCCTGGTAGTACACCACCGCCCTATGCAGGGGGTAAACTGCCGGCGGGCGTTATGCTCAGCGAGCTACCGGAGCCACCGATTCCGGTATCGGAAATTGGACCCATCCCACCGCCGCCGATGTTCTCCACGCCGAGCCCGACGCTCATCGCTGGACGACCGCACGGGCCCGGCGCCATGAACGATCAGGACTACCAGCAGGACTACGACTATGATGGTAAAGACAAGCCAAAAGAAAAGAAAAAAAGATAAAAGAAATACTAACACCAACAAACAGCTAGCTTCAGCTCATTACAAATGCGCACTTCATAAACTATGCTAGTGCCCCAAATCCTGTAAAAGCCCCTATGTGAAAATCTATAATAAACAACTACAGCTGAGACTCGTATGTTTAACTTCTGTGTCTTCTTTTGCCCTGCACAGATCACGATCCCGACCAGGATGAGCTCGACTCGGATGATGATTATGCGCCGTATGGCGGCATACATGCTGCCGCTGGCAATCATGTTCGGGTTATGGATACGCAGCGTGTCGAGGAAATTCCAGCCAAAGAGCCAAAACCAAATGCAGTTCCTCTCAAATCGGCGCTGAAGAAGAAGGTCGGCATCTGCGGCCCCACCTCAAACTCTTCCTCCCAACCAGTCACGCCCACACAGGAGCATCACAGTGCCGCCCAAGCGGCTGCCATTTCCAATAGCAATGGTGGCATCGGCTCCATGGCAGCAGCAGCTGCTGCTGCCGCTCAACAGTCGGCCAGTCAGCGTCCGTTGGTGGTGCGACAGGATGCGGCGGGCAATAACTATTCGCTCAAGTGAGTAACTGAACTGCCCCACCACCCAATAGTGGTCACGTGTGCCACACAAGTTTTATTATATTTGTAGTTTCTTTTTGGTTAAGCGTTATATTTCTCTTTTGTTTGTAGTTGAAATTTGTTTTTACTTAACTCTCTCTCTTTCTCTCTCTCTCTCTCTCCCCCCTTTTGTCTCTCTTTATATACTCATCACATTTCGCGCGGTTTTTCCCACATGTTTCGTTCTGCTGCCACTAAATTTGTTTCTAAAAAATTAACCGATGCCCGGCCCCGTTGATACTCTGTTTTAATATAAATTTCATTTGTTTTTTGTTTGTTTCTCTTGCGTGTGCGTGAACAAAACACGTTCTTCTGCTACCCCCCCAAAAAAAAACCCCCTCAACTACAATTATCTACAACAATAAACAACAACAACAACCTCAACAATACCTCAATCTCTACTATACAATTCTCTACAATATATACAATCAACAAACAACAACTAAAATAAAAAAAAACCAAACCCGAATCCGAATCCGTTATTGAATCGAAATCAGGCCTATACTACGACCACGGATTAGAATATGGTAAACATTTTATAGCTAATTTATTTGTTATGTGGAACGTATGCCAAAATGCTTATAGAGTACTTTATCTTTCTATCTCCACACCATTCTCACTCAATCCATCACTTACACTTGCTCTGTTGTGACAAAACCCGCAAGAACTTTTATTTTTAAGTCCCCCAATCCGCAAAAAAGTGCACATCAAGAGTAATGCAAGACATTAATCGATAAAAATGACAAACATACTTATTTTTAAATGTATTTGTGTTTTATTTGATTTTAAGACCGAATTATATTGGCCTTGCATCGTTCTTGAAATGGTATCCAGCCTGCACCATTCCCTTTTCCGCATCTTGCTCCCCCCCTGCACCTTGACATAAATCATATTTCGGTTATGTGTTTTGATTAAATTTTAAAGACTCACAAAAAAAAAAAAAAAAAAAACAAAACAAAGAAAAAATATTAATAAACGAAGTAATGAAATGAAGCAGAAAGAAGATAAAGAAGAAGCTGTATTCGCACACTCAACAACAACAACAACAACATTAAAAATGGGCACACTTTTATTTTCTTATTTTTGTTCTGCAGAATTAAATTACTAACTTTCGGTTGTTTGTCGTTAAGTTTAATTTTCTCATGTGCCTCCTTTCCACTATACTCCTGCCTCTATCCGGCCACTCAATGTTGTATGTACTCTATGTAGATATATATGTGTGTGTGTGTGTGTGTGTGTACTTATTTTTATATGATAAAAGTTTTCTTTTAGGCTTGTGCTGTATTTGCTGTGCGCTGTCCTTTTCGCCGTTGCATGTTTCAATGGGGGAAACAAGATTATATTCCACATTATACGGTCTTTCAATTTCCTTAGGAAAGCACACATGATATTGCAAAGCATGTCTTAATTTAATATACACCGCTGCATGCCGCCAGCATGTCAGCATTGTATTTTACATTGGAAATAATCTTAGAAAGTGACATTCATATTTCTAAGTGGTTGCGTATACAAATATAAATATATAAATAAAAACAGCACAGACACATGACAGATGACAAGTGTCACAAGCTCATATTGTGTAGCCAGCGATGCGGCTTAATCGAAACTCGATTGGTAACGGCAGCCCCCAAACAGGCGAGTCCATTAGTTAAGCTCCAATGGCCGCAAAAGAGTTTTCCTTTAAGATGCAGGCAGTGGAAAAATGTATGCAAAGGAGCTGCAACAAAGCGTGAAGCGAGTAAAAGCAAATGCAAAACGCTTAACGTATTTAACATAAATTGTGCGAGAAAGTTTACAACGGGCAAACATATCTCTATTCACCAATGCGATAAACATTGTGGAACAGCAATCATTTGATTAATATCCTTATTGCCAATGGCAAGCAGTTAGTCAAGTAAAGTATCGATAGGGTCGCAAAGAGGAGAAAAAGTTGAATCATTTTATATCAAACAAACCAAGAAACTTTTAATAAGAATTTTGTATGTTTTTCAAAAAGTAATTGTTTTAAGAGATTGATTTAAAAATTGTCATTGTAGCAAAGAGAAACTAAAGTGTTTTGTTTTAAACTGACTTAGTCATTTTATTTCTTCAGACTGTCCTCTATTTCTTTAGAGAACACACACTTCGCTCAGCTTCAATCACAGCTGCTACTCAAAAAGAGACACCTTCAGTGCTGACTCATAACATTCAAGATTGCCCAATTATTTCTAGTAGTTTGGATTAAAGATGACTTGCGAAAGGGTATTCAAAGTGTGGCACTTGTGCACTTGTGCTGTTATGCAGCGTTTGAACTCGTTTCGCATCGTAATGTGTCAAGCATAGACTCGACATACACACACACACATACACACACACACACACACACATACACATACACATACACATACATTAACTATATATGCATACACTAAATGCGAAAGTGTTGCGGATGTGCCTGACAGGATATAGCATTCTGCTTTCGGTCTTTCACAGCCAGCGACAGCTTTAAGTATAAAGCCAAGCACACACTCGCACACACACACACTCGCACACTTACATAACTCACATGCTTGCGTGAGTGCGGCAAGTGTGTATGTGAATGAGTTGCCAGATGTGCGCACAGACGTGTCGTTAAAAAGTGAAGCACAAAAAAAGAAGAACAAAATACAAAACAAAAACAAATTGCTGCAAAAGCATTTTGGTAGCAACCAACAACAAAAAAAACTTTAAGGACTTTTGCCTGCGAGTAATGCAGGAAGATGAATAAATTAAATACCAGTGTATGCGTGTGACTGTGTATAAGTCTGTCTGATTGCTCCTGCGAGATTGTACAGATGAAAGTGTTTATTTTTTCTTTTTGAAGGTTTGCTGCATGTCTCCTTTTGGTGTCTAGATAATATATATGCGTATGTGTGTGATGTGACATGGACTAATGATAATAATTAGTTGATATGAATGTTAGCTAAGCGAAATTTAAAATAGCTCTTAACTAATGCACAATCTGTTGACCCCTTTCCACACCAGCAGGCAGCAAATGTTCAATATCCAATTGCCGTGCACCGTGGAGAACAAGGAGAATGCGAGACCGTTTGTGATACGCGAGAGCAGCAGCGATAGCGATGAGAGCGATGGCCAAATTGTCTATCGGGACGATGATAATGATAATACACGGCTTGCCAAGCTGGCGCGCAAGGAGTCGCTATCGTTGAAGCTGCAGCTGCGACCAGATAAACAGGATCTGATCAATCGCAATATATTGCATCAGGTCAACGATAATGAGCTCAAGGAGTCCAAGGAGGCGATTGGGGCGCGCCTAATACGCAGGCTGTCAATGCGACCCACCGCCGAGGAGCTGGTGGAGCGCAATATACTAAAAAGTGAGTACAAATCAACAAATTACAATTGTTGCTCCAGCAAACAACAACTCATCGGAATTATTTTCGTTTAGCTCAATCACCCGCCGAGGAGAAGAAACAAAAGGAGGAGAAGAAATCGTATTTGCTGCGCAAGTTAAGCTTTCGGCCCACCGTCGAGGAGCTCAAGGAGAAGAAGATCATACGCTTCAATGATTACATTGAGGTGACGCAGGCTCATGATTACGATCGACGGGCGGACAAGCCATGGACAAGACTGACGCCAAAGGATAAGGCCGCCATACGCAAGGAGCTGAACGAGTTTAAGTCCTCCGAAATGGCAGTCCACGAGGGCAGTCGCCATCTGACGAGGTAATTAAACCCACAACCCAACCAAACACAACTCAAACCACTAAATTGTTCTACATTGTCCTTGGCCCCGCCAAACAAAATCAACGACTACCCAGAAAAATTGCCAAATGCCCAATGAAGTGTCACGTGCAGTTTTACTGTACCACTGACCAAAAGACCACAAAAAAAAAAAGAACACAAAAAAAAAAGGATACCCATTCCAAATTCAGTCAGCTCCTTCTGTCCCACGCATTGTTCGTGCGCTAGAATATGCTTGCCACAAAGGACTTTGCTGTGGTAACTGCGCTTTTTCGTTTCGTTTTTTCTCCCCCATTTTAGTTAATTTGTTTTTTTTTTGTGCTTTCGACATTTCTATTTCAATTTTTGGGAGGAATGAGTGCAGAGTCAACTTTTATAATGGCTTTTGGATTCGGTGGCTGCATTCAAGTTGTGCTTAAACGTCCCCACACGCAAAATCTCTGACTTTAACTAACTGAGCGACCAGCAACTTGTGGGGCCTTGGGGCCTAACAAATTAGACAAGGAATGCAAGCTAGCCAGTTGAATACAACTGGTCACAAATAAGCTGGCAAAGTTCCAGCACACAGAAAACGTTGCCACATTGTTGCAATGTGCAATGTGGCCTGGTATTTAAACATAGCTTGAACGAATGCAGATAATTTCCACTAGTTTTAACAAGTCGTATCATATTAAAAAGTTCAAAGTAGCGTCAAGTTATCTTGTCCCATAATCACAAGTGCCTCTCAACCAACCTTAACAAGTATGAAATCCCAGCCAGACAACAACTGGCATTGTGTTGCACAAATTGCGATGTAACTTTTGCCACAGAAACTGAAACTAATCCCAACTTTTGCAATTTCGCATTTTTCCTTTGCAGATTCCATAGGCCATGACGATTGCAATGGCAGCAACTTTCCAACAAATTACAACAACAGCCCAAACAATTGTATTTTGTGCAGCATAAAATTGTCAACAAATATTTAAAAGTAAAACATTAAAAAAACCAAACAAAAACACTAAAAAAAAAAATACAAAAAAAAAAAGAAAACGAAATAAAATAAAAATAAAATTGATCTAAACACAATAAGAAGTAAATGCAAATAAAAAAAATTTTCAAATGGCAAAAAAAGGTTAGAAAGAAGCAATTCAAATTGCCAAGTATAATTTTAAAGGTTTTCTGTTAATTGCGAATTCCGCTCGGTTTTCTAATTCTAAGTTCTTATTCTGTACGTAGTATTTGTGTTTTTTCTTACATTTTTTTTGTTGATTGTATGTAAATAAATTTTTTTGGAAACCACCCAAGCTAGATTTTTAAATGGCAAATCAAAATATCAATTCGTCTTATATATTAGGATGTGTTAAATCGATTTGTTAATTATTCTTGAGTCAAGGCAATTATGTATTATATTATATTATATTATATTATATAAAAAACAGAGGATGGTAAATGAATTAACACATTTGATAAATGTTTAAACTAAAATATACATTTACATTAATTCGTAAACTAAACAACACAAACAAGTCAAGCAAAAACAATTGCAGAGAGAGAAATTCTTAAGGTTTAAGCATAAATTTACTTTTACTGCTGCTTTCCATACATTTTTAGATTTTTGAATTAAGCCAACTCTACAAATAAAACCGCAAATATTATTATAAATTATACAAAATGCGAAAAGTTCTGAATGCATACATACATATATTATATATTTTAAATTTATGATTATTGTATAAAGCTTAAACGTAAACAACACATTAAAAATAGAGCTAAAAACAAAAATAAACTAAACATTTTTTGAAAGACATTTGAGCAACAGATTTGAATTTTTTTTTATATTTTTATTTATTTCTTTATTTCAGTTTTTGTATTCTGTCATATTGATTTGTATACAACATGTACATACATACATATCGCCAAATTGCATATAACTTGAAAACTTATAGCGAAAGATAGGTAATGCCATAAAGAACGAGCCACAACTAATTTTCATGAACACGAACAAAGGCAAACTGCTCAATGATAAGTAGAAAAGTAAAATTTGTAAACCAAACGACAAAAAAAACAAATTAATAGAATGATAAATTCTAATAAATAAATGGCAACAAAATATCAGGAATTACAAACTGAAGCAAGTTGGACCCAGTGAAGTTTTTTAGAGAAACAAACCGTAACAATTTAACGTAAGATTTTAGAGGCAGATGGAACCAAAAAAACACGAAAACAGAAACAAAAACAAAAAACCAAACGACGTCAAATCAATGATGAATATATCTATTTTGTAAAACAAGTTGCAAATAGTTACGAATGATTAACAAAGCGAAACTGAAACTTTTACTCCAGCATTCAAATAGTTATGAATAATCAGTAAAATAAAATAAAATTAAATTAAAAAAACGAAAGTGAAATTCCTAATTGTAAAGAAAGAAAAAAAACCAAATATTAAATGCAAATTTGAAATGCTCGCGCGTGCTCGTGAATAAGTATTTAAATATGAAACAAAAATATATAAATAAAATATGAATAAAAGAACATAACAAAACAGTTTCAAAGAACATTTAATAAGAAACTAAATCATACAATTTGATGATTGATAAAGAATAAAAGCAAACTTAGTTTAATGATAAATTGGCGCTTCCTTTGCAAGTTTCATATTTCTAAAGCAAAACCAACACACACAATTTAATGTAAAATAGACAAAAGTAAAGTAAAGTAAAAAAACTTGTTTCAGGGCAGTCATCGTATTGGCGCCGATCAAAAGCTTTTGCTTGATTTCGCTGAAACCTTGAGGTCTACATCATGAATGTGGCCAAAAGTTAAGATCAATTGGATCTAAGTTGCTCAGCCGCCAGGTTCTTAATCCGAATCTGAATCTGAATTGGTAACTCTGTCTCTCTCACTCTCTGTATCTTGCTTCAAAGCGTTGCATTGTCAGAGTTAAGCAATATAAATTGCAAATATATATATATATATATATATATATATATATATACATATACATCAAATATCTATACAAACTATATAGTATATATGTATACAACTATTTATATGTAAAGAAGCAGCTGAAGCAGATGAAGCTATATACATACAACTATCAATATGGGATAGCATAATTTACACTTTTTCTATGAATCGATTTATAGTGTACAATAAATACAACAAAAAAAAAAAACAACACTAACAACAAGAGGAGCCCCCGCGTTCATTGAGAGCCTACCTAACCGTAATTTGTGACGAGTTTAGTTCAATGCAACATTCTGTACAGCATTTTCACACTGTCCCTTCGAGTTCTGTTTTCAACTTTACCAAATTTGCAGTTGCCGTTGCAACAACAATAACAACAACAACAACATTGAAATGAAAACTGTAGCAATAATTAAGAACACCACAAATGAAAACAAAAATCAAACAACAACAACAACAACAACAACCAGTTGCAGCCAGTGTTAGAAACCAACTTCTGAACTTGCGGCTCGTTTAAAAAATTTGTAAAAGCCGTAAAATAGGCAGAAACCGCGAAAAAAAAACTTTGTAACAATTTGCAATTTGCAGACACGTTAAGTGAATTAGCCAACTAAGCTTAGACACGAAGAATGAAAGAAAAGACAGCATGAAATTGTATGAACAACAAATAAAAAAAAAACATAACAAAACAAAAAGACAAAAGAATATTGACTAATAATCACCGACAAATTGAGATTTAATAAAGATTTAATTACTTAAAAAATATGAAACGAATGAATTTATTTGGGGGAACATTAAATTTTGATATAAATCGTTTAAAAACAAAACTGCAATTGGTTTGAAGAACTGATTCATTGAATACGATTTGATTTTTTAGAGGGTTTCTTCTTCAACTGCGCCATGGTGCATGGTATGCCAACGTTCCCTAATTGCTTCAATAGTGCTACAGCCAGTGATCACATCCGCCACATACTGAGTACCTGTTTGTAAGAGTGCATCAATATTTAGATAGTCGGCTGCGATGATCAGTTCAAATAGCATTGAATCGTTGGCATTCGCCTCGGTGAGGATCCGATGAAGTGTTTCACGTAACTGCAACTCATTCCTCTCATCCACAGTGCTCTCCTGCGAGAGCAGCTCTTGACACCACTTCAGCACCAATCGAAATATATGCGAGCTTACTCTGTCCAATGGCACTATATTGGCATCGCATATATCGCTGTTGCTGTTGCTCTCCCTGAGTCCATGTAGAAGCCAGCTTTCTGCCAATCCGATTTGCTGCGCGACTTCAAAGTTGACATCGAACAGGATGTCATCACTGGTGCGTATTTGAAATGACTGTGGAGCGTGGCACATTTTATCGAAATTTTCTAAAATATTTTGTGTTTGGGGAGATTGCTGCTTCAATGACTGCTAGATGGGTGACATACTTACGTATCTATAGATGCTTCTTTGAAGCAGCCTAAAGGTATGCAGTGAAATATTTACTGCGGCACAGCCTTAAAATGTGGCCTAACTTTTGGTGGGCAGCATTAAGGCTAAACCGTTTTGAACCCTGTGTGCCAAAACACATTCATTGAGTTCATTCATAAATTCCTTTGCGTTCCGCAGCCGCCACTTCACGTGCCAAACAGAGCGAATCGGAGCAAGTGCGTCTTTGTATCTTTGCAAATGTATCTGCGTTCGGTTCAAGCGTCAAGCGTACGTGCCAGACTCTCAGCCAGTCTACCTGGGCTGCAGCCTCAGGTGAGGCGACAACAACAACAAAAAGAACAACAGCAACAAATATCCACAACAACGACACCAATCACAATCATAATAAGAACGTCGCCATCACAGTTGATTGTGATGAGCTCTTTCTGAGATGTTGTCGCTGTTGCTTTCTGCTTGAAGTGTTTGCGCCGTCTCCGGTTCCATCTTCATATGTTTTGCTGTTGCTGTTGTTGCTGTGGCTGTTGCTGTTGCTGCTTTCCTCCGCGAAAGTTTATCATCGCGGCAAGATTCTAACATTTTTGTGTGCATTCCACTTTGGTGCGTTCTCGGATTTCTCAAGAGTTTGCCTTTTGCACGCTCATAAAACGTACTCGAACTCATTAAAACGCGCACTCTGATAACCGAAATGGCCACGTTGGTCGACGGACTTCGGATGAGTTGGACGACGGCTTGGCGACGTGTTTTGCATGTGCGTTCCAGTCTCTGATTTATTTGATGGCCATATATGTTGTTGTTGTTGGTGTTGTTGTTGTAGTGGATGACGAAGGCATGTTGCACGTTGCCTCTCAAGCCGCTGCGAAATAGGGTAAGTAGGCAAAAATTTAAAGACCTGCAAAATGTGGCCAGTTAATTAGGTTACTTCATGTGGGAAAAGCTGCACAAGTGGACAGTTCTCTGTCTGTCCAACAAATTGCTTATAGATGCTGCTTAACAGTGTAGAGACAACAGTTATATGTAGGTACCAGATCTTTGTAAAGTGGTATTTACAGTGAAGAAGCTGTTTTTTAAGCCGTTCCCACAAGCACTTTATGAGAGTAGGAGTTTGACTTCAATTTCGAACAAGAATAACGTTTTTGTAGTTGCAATTGTAGTATTAATCTAGATCTAAACCCATTACACAAGTATGGGTCATTGAAAATCGATTCAGTTTTGAGGAAGCGTTGCCAAATGGTAATTGTAGTATTAATCTCGATACCAGACCACCATCAACAAGTCCTTGCTTTAGAAAATCGTTTTAGTCTTGAGTATGTTTGGACTCTAAGGATATGGAGCTTCAGGATGATCAGTTGGCCGTAAAGTTTCAGTTGACTACAGTGCTGTCCGTTGCATTGGGTCCTGTCTTGGTCTGGACTGTGTAGTTTTCAGATCTGGGGTCTGGGGTCTGGGGTGGCAGCTAACAACAACAATTTGGTGTAAAATTTGCATTTGGCCCGATCGCAGTTCGCGACTTGTCGATGCTGGGGATTTCTTTATGACCCAAGCTGGCAGTGGTGCGGAGTTTTATTTCAGCTGTGGCCTTTGTTTGCCAGCAAGTTTATTTGATTCTATTTTCATTTTATTTGAATTGTGGTTCGCTTTTATGGCCCGTGCATGAGCCTGAATGCTGAATGCCTATCGCCTGTTGCCTGTTGTCTTTTTGTCTGCTGCTGAGATTTGTTTTGTGAAAGTTACAGCAGAGAGACGCTATCGATGAGCCCCAAGAAGTCGCAGCGTTTGTAACTTTAACCATAGTCGATGTTTTGGCCATTGCTGTTGGATTTTTTTTTGTTGTTGTCGCTACTCAGTTGGTGATTGTAAAACAATAAAAGCAACACCTGACTGCCGTTTTGCCAGCAGAGCCTCACAATGGCGTTGATGGCGACGCGGATGCGGACATCGTTGTTGGTGGGCCTCCCCATTCCCGAGCCCAGTGCCAGCAGCAACAGTTGCTGCTACGGCTGCTGCTGCTGCACGTAGATCTTATCAGTCGCGTTTGCTCTGGCCAAAAATGGCCAAGACAAAAACATGGTCATTGTTGTGTTGATTTTGGTGACGCTGTTTGAACATTTCAATTGCGTTTTGCGTTCTGTGCGTTTTGCAACAACAACAATAACAGCAATAACAATGAGTTGAGTATGGAAACAAATTGCCAGCTGATTGTTGAAGAGCTGCCAGCTGCTAAGCATGGGGCGGTGGGTTGGTTCGCAAGACGGGCGCAATTTGAATCGAAATCTAAATCTAAATAAATAAAAATCGTGCGCTGTTGCTTTTCTGGTCTTAAGTGAAAGGCATCGGTGAGATCAGCGTATTGGCCAAAGTATCTCAGTGTGCTGCAAATTTAATCAATTGATGAGGCTCTTGCAACTTGCGACTTACTGCCTGACTGCCTCCCTGCCTGCTTGCCCGCCTAGATGCAGGTTGCTGTCTGTTTGCTGCACTTGTTGTCGTTGCTTTTATTGTTGTTGTTATTGCTGCTGTGATGGCAATTTGGATTTTTGTGGCTAACACAAACCTGACCAAAAAGACATTTACATTCTACGGTTGCTGCTGCTGATGTTGCTGCCGTGCAAGTGTCGCAACAACAATAACAACAACAACTTTACACGCTAGAAACCGTGACTTTAATTTTCTTCATTTTTCCCCCCACCTCCGTTCACTTATTTAGTTTTTGATTTGTTTTTCACTTCGCGTCTTTTCTTGTTGTTTTTTTTTTATATAATTTCAATTTTTTTTCGTTTACAGTTGGACTTTTCATTAAATCGCCGCGCAATGTCGCCAATTTTTCGCGTTTTCCTCGTTTCCCATTTTGCTGTCCTGCTTTAATTTGTAATTACTTGCACATTTTACTTTCGTTTGTGGCATTTGATTTATGGTCTAACAAATTGTGGTCGCCAAATGAAAATTTTGTTTTTTTCTTTTTTTGGCCAAAACGTGGTAAATGGCAATTGGAATCGTGAGTGCCAAGAATTAAGAAAGTCTTTAAATGAATGGGGTTGGCAGTAAATGGCGTTAATCCTTTTACCAATTGTATTAATACATATAATTTGCTGAAATATATTATTATCCTTATTTATTGCTATTTAATTTCGCTGTTGTAAGTTTGTTATCGAGAACATTCAATCTATTTGTTTCGTTGTAAGTCAAAGCTAATTTTATTTTTGTGTTTCTTTATTTTTCTTTCTTTTTGTGGTCAGTATTACTGTATACTTCCATTCCGTCTTGTTTAGCACATCTGCTCCGTGTTAACAGTTCAATCCTTTCTTTTCTCTCATTCATTTCCGATTTCGCATCCTGTTGTTATCCAGACTTCCCGTAAATGAGCTCATTAAGTTCATTGCAATGCTGCCATTGTCATCGTCGCTGCACTTGACACTTGCTGCTGGCATGTTGTTGTCGTTGCACGCAATAACAGCAGCAATAACAGCTGCAGCAATAACAACCACAACCACAACAGCACAAGCCAAACACCCACTCGCAATTGCAGTTGCTGTCGCCAATGTGCCACAATTTCAAATGGCTTCCACTTACAGCAACTGCTGCAGCAGCATAGCAACAAGTTGCAGCAACTTGAGTGCAACAACAGCACCAGCAGCAACATACCCATTGATTAGGTGACCCTTGTAGCGGTCCGAGGCTGTCAGCTTACCTCTCTCCATCTCCCTCTATCTCTCTGTTTCGTTGTCTCTGTTTGCCATTGCCTTTGGCTTCTTGTGTTGCCCCCAATTGTCATTGACTGCTGCTGCGGATGTTGTTGCTGCTTAAAGCTGTTGCAGCTAGCTCAATTGATTGAATTACATACATGCTGGAGCCCCTTGGGCTGTCTTTGCTGCTCTGGTGCTCAACACCCCCACATTTACTTGACTGACTCTTGCGACTCTCGGGCCACATTGGGCCATGTTGCCGCGAGTCAAACAAAGTCAGGCCAGTTAGGCAGTTAGCCAGTTAATTAGCAGAGAGCCAGCTGCTGTTGTTGCTTTCAGCTGTCCTTGTGCCAGTTGTGAGTAGGTTGCAAGTTTGGAAATGATGCCAGCTACAAGCTTATGTGGTTCAAGGATGTGTTCGACAGATGATCTTTGACTTGACTCAGCTTAAAATTGAGGTAAGCTTATAAACATAATTTTATGCGAATTTCAGAGCTGCTCACTACATTTTCAAATCCTTCAAATACATCTAAGTATAATATCAAATTCCTATTTCTAATTTTATTAGGATTTTCGAGGCATATTAAAATGAATAATTCCACTTTAGATTGTATATACAATATAATACAAATTTCACTTCTTTTCAAAAATTTCCAGTTCTCAATTAATTAAAGAACTCCATACACATATAATTTACATGAAAATCTATTAGAAACTTCTTTGACACCTCTGAGAGGCGTTCTGCTACCTGAGTGCTGACTAAATGAATAATAATAATCATCAAGTCTATTTGCCTTAAAGACCAAAAATTATTGACATAAATACAAATGTGCCCTCAATCCAATAAATCAACAGCTTTTGTAGCTTGCGTGCAATCACTCAATGTCCAATTGCATGCGCCATCAAACATTTTCATGCAACGCACACTCGTGTATCTGCAACTTGCTCTCTTCCTCTTGCCACATGCCACGCATGCACGCCAGCAAACCACAGAGACAAATGCAAAACAAAGCAAAAAAAAAAAAAACAAAAAAAAAAACAAGAAAATGCCGCTGCCGAACTTGTCCTTAAAATGTCAGCCAAAGTGTTCATTAATTTGTGTCTCCCCCTCTTGCTCTGATTGTAGTTGTAGTTGTAGTCCCAGTTGTTGTTATTGTCTGGTTGCACTATTATTGGAGTGTTGTTGCGGCCTCTTGTGGCGTGTGTGTGCACAGTCATTGATCATGAATTCCGCGCGCTTGGCACTCGCTGCAGCACATGCGTCATGCC